CTACTGCTTTCTCCTCTCTCTCCATCCTGCTTCTGTTGCCTTGGTTCAGGCCCTCATTTTTTTTCTTGGACCACTTCTAGGCCTAAGCAATTGAGCTTCAGTCTGTTTCAATTCTATTCAAGTCTCTTCAATCACATTCAAACTGAACATTATTGTTCACCTTTTAAGTGCTAGATGTAGAGTGTGAGATGCTGGGTGTACAAAGCTTATAAAAATAGATAACGGATCATCCTTAGTCCTAACTCTGTAGCAGATATACACTTTACGTGTCTGATACAATGTCATCTGCATAATACCCCAATGTGGCAGTCATTATTATGATTTCCATTCTACAGATGAGGAAACCGAAGAATACAGTGCTTAGATAAAACTGCTGAAAGCACACAGCTAGTGATTTGTAGTGCTGGGTGTGGGCCCAGGCTGTCTGACTCTAGAGACTGGGCTTTTGAGCCCTAAGAAGAGAGGTCTCTGTCCTTATGGCGTCACAGAATATATTTGAGTGTAAAACTCAAATATATACATATTAATTGGTATCATGTTTCTGTGGGAACATGAAACAAGGTGTGAGATCCGAGAAGGCTTCTCAGAAGAGGTGATGCTTGACCCATGCCTTCATGATGAATAGGAGTTCACCAGGGCACAATACTTGTAATAGATAACTCTTCAACAGCATTTACCACATCCTGGGCACTGTTCTAAGTGCTCTGCACATATTGACCAATTTTATCTTTATAATTTTTGGTAGGAGATATGGTTCCCGCCGTACAAATGAGAAAACTGAGATTAGGTAAGTTAAGTGATAAGTTCAAAGTCACACAATAATGGAATGGCAGAGCCAGGATCTCAAACCGGATTTTTGTTCCGGAATCAATGCTGTTAACCATTACACTCCCCCGTCTCTCAAAAAAATGTGGTAAGGACATTCCGCGCAGAGAAAAAAAATCCCCAAGACCTAACACATGGTATGCAGTGTGGACAATGATAGGAGATGAGCTCTGCTATGGGCCAAATTATACCCACCTAAAAATTTGCGGACTGAAGTCCCAAACCTCAGTACTTCAGAATATCACTGTACTTAGAATTATGGTCTTTGAAGAGGTAATTAAGTTAAAATGAGATCATTAGGGTAAGCCCTAATCCAACATGATTATTACTCCTCTAAGGAGGAATTAGGACCCCGGGAGAAGGCAGCCATGTACGAGCCAAGGAGAGAGGCCTGGAAGAGATCCTTCCCTGCAGGCCTCAGAAGAAACACACCTTGAAGACACCTTGATCTTGGACTTTCAGCCTCCCTAACTCTAAGAAAGTAGACTTCGGCTGTTTAAGCCGTCCAGGCTGTGGTATCTCATTACAGCAGTCCTGAAGACACATACAAGCCTACGGGGGGAAGCAGGGCCAGGTCATATTGGGCCTTGGTCCTGGGGGCACTAGAAATGGACCAGCGGGTTTTCAATTGCCATCATATGATCTATTGTTTTATAGAGCTCACTCTGGTGGCACTGTGGAGAGTAAGACTTGAGGCTTGGTCAGGTTCATGTGGAGGTGCAGGCAGGGGATAATGAAGGCCTCCCGGTCAGAAATGGGATACAAGAGAAGGAAGCACAGGGAGACAACCACTTGCTACTCCTTCCCGCCCCCTGCACCTGCCTCTAACTCAAGCCATCTGGACCAGTTCCTGACCACGCCATTTGCTCCCCAGCCCCCACCACCATGTCTCTGTCCCTCGGTACCTAACACCTTGACCTGCCTCACGTTTAAAGATGCTTTCAAGCCCTGGCTCCAGGGACTACTCCTCTAAGACACTCTCTCCAGGTCAGCAGGTCCCTTTCTTCTCTGCTTCCCTAGCACTGTGTACACATCTCTATTGTGACTCTCACCCTCTGGGTTCTGTGATTCTTTGCTCCATGCCTCTCTCTCCGATTAGATGGTAAGCTCCTTGAGAGGAGGTACAGGCCCCTGACAAAGGTCGAATGAAAAAAAATAAAGCCTTAAAAAAAAGGTACAAAGAACCATATAAATTTAAAGGAGAAGTGGATTCTGGTTCCACAAGGTTTATAAAAAAGTACATCACAGATCAAGGTATATAGGAAGAGACGCACTCCCAAGATAGGACACATGTACCTGTCTGCCTGATGGTCTTGGCCTTTTTACTTCCCGATATAAAAGAAATGCTGGAGAAGCTAAATACACCCCAATTGCTCTAGGGGGCTTTAAGGGAAACCACATTGGGGACAGTACAGAGAATTCAACATGCTTACTGAAGAAAGGGTGATAAATGAGTTGAATAATCCAAATGCTCAGTGGCCTCTAATGGATTTTTCCCCTATGTAATTTGCTATGTCGACTTTGGTTTTTAAACTCTCATTTAGGTAAGTATCCAAAATTTACAGAATGACCGTGGCCTCCACAGCCTTCGGACCCATGAGGATGCCTTGGTTATAGTTCTCACGTTCAATTCAGAGCAAAGGACTCAAGTACAATTACCAGTCAGAATGTGTGATTACACTCAATGCTATACTGTCTTCCTATGTACAGTGGGTGGCCCAAATGTGTATGGTTATCAACACAGTTCTCTCCTGAATGATATTTTTCTCTGAAGTTTAATGTCCTCTGTGCGTTATATGAGCATTTTAGCTTAGTTTTGAGGTCATGACAACTACCGTGTAAGTGGAGGAGCTGAATTTTTGGCACAAATTCTTGGTAAATCAGTCACAGGGTTATCTTCAAATGTGAGATGGTAGAGGTGATGGTCTGAGGCCCTGTTTACAAAGATGGGGTCACTGACCTGTATTAGTTTGCTAGGACTGCTGTAACTAATTACCACAAACTTGGTGGCTTAAAAGAGAAGAAAGTAATTCTCCAAGTTCTGGAGGCTAGAAGTTCAAAGTCAAGGCGTCAGCAGAACCGTACTTCCTCTGAGGGCTCTAGGGAAGATGCTGTTCATTGCCTCTTGCAGCTTCTGGTGGCTTCAGGTGTTCCATGGCTAATGCCTGCCTAACTCCAATCTCGGTTTCCATCTTTACCTGGTCTTCTCTTTCTACGTACATTCTGTGTGTGTCTTCTTAAAGGACACATGGCATTGGGTTTGGGGCCCACCTGGTTAATCCAGACTAATCATCTTAGGGTCCCTATGTAAATTACATCTGAAAAGACCCTTTTTTGAAGATCACATTCACAGGTTTTGGGGAACAGAACATGCAAATATCCTTCTGGGGACCACCATTCGTGTGCTGTATGACCCATGGTTGGAATGTCCTGAGGGTGGTAGAGGTGCTTTCCCAGGAGTGGTGACAGATTTCTACTGATGCACCTATGGCTCCTGCCACCTTTACTCTGAATGTAAAATTAATAGTTTGCACACCACCTAGCCTTAACCTGAAAATGGATGGGCCAAAAGCCAGTTCTTATCAAGAGAGGTCTTCTCATTGCCCTCCACAGGGCTTTAACATGTCTGAATTAGTTGATTATGTGAAAAATCAGAATATTTTTACATGAAAGTCCTAGGTTTCTGGCTTTTCTAGTAAAGTCAGATCTAACACCACTGGGTCCAGACTCCTTCTCAGTAGCTGCTCCTTTAGATGGGGTCTGAACTTGCCAAGTGCCACAGTCCTCACCACCCCCTATTGTTTATCCAAGCTCCACTTCACTCATGGGAATTACACTTAACCCTTGAACAACAAGGGCTTGAACTGCAAGAATATGTATTACATAGGTATTATACGTACGTTATATATAAGTATTAATTATATGTACTTATAATGTATATGTATCATATATTTATACATAATATATATTTATATTCTTGTATAAATAATGCAATATTTATATATATAAATAATGCAATATTTATATATAACATAGAATATAGTACATATATATAACATACAAAATATGTAATTGACTAGGTTATTGGTAAGGCTTGTGGTCAACAGTAGGCTATTAAGAGTTAAGTTTTGGTAGAATCAAAAGTTATAGGCAGTTTTTTGACTGTGCAGGGGTTGGCACTCCTAAATTCCCTGTTGTTCAAGGGTCAACTGTAGTTACTTGGCTCTTGAGTTTTTGAGATGGCAATCTCTGGCCTATGGGCATGTTTCAAAGGCAGCTAACCATTTGGGTGAAAATTCAAACAATGACCCTGATTCACTCCAACCATGGAGCTGAATTCCAAAAAGCGTTGTCAAAAGAGTTTGCGGTGACAAGGATAATGAGCCATTTTAGATCACCCCAAGGTATCCACTGGCAGCCAAGATTCAAACCGAAAGATCTACAGCTCCTTTACTATGACATAGATCCTACACTGTTATGGCCTCACTTCTTTCAGGCACAGCCTCATGTAAAGATTATTTACAATCTTCAGTTTTGCAGGCCCCAACTTAACTCCAGAAGGCTTATTGCTTTGTGCACCGAATGTTTTATCTGTTTTATAACAGTCTTTACATAATATGATGAATACTTTCCTGTTCGTGGTAAAAGTTGTTGATTGAGCTTATACCCACAGAGCTTAGTTGAGCTAACTCTCTCAGCATTTTATTACCCAACACCTTTTTTCTAAGGATACATAGGGGGAAAAATAAAAAGAAAATCCTATTTTCAGCAGGAGTGGATTCAAAAGACATCTACTACTTGTGCTTCTAGTCTTGAGTCCAGACCATATAGAGCTGGGAAAGGCCATGAAATAAAGAAATATATAGAGACCTTCAACATGCAAGACTAACTTATTATTTGCAATTAGACTGACATTTGGCAGTGAGTAATTAAGGAAACACTGACCTAGCTAGTACTCCTACAGAGGTATTTTCTCTGGGATTAGCTGTCCTTGCACTAACTTCCACATGCCATTCTCAAGTTTAAAAAAAATGGTATGATTCTTGCCTGTAGCGGGGAGATATATTTTCATGTGTACTATTCTAACAAAATTAAATTCATGTATTTTGTGCTTCTTTAAATACATTTCAATAAAGTAAATTCAAGATTCTTGAAAAAATATCACATACAAACACAAACACTTTCTAGTGGGTCAAACCTGTGACATTTTTCTTCATTAGTGACTGAGTTGATTTAATTTAGTACAGACAATCTAGGTAAAATGATGGATTAAGTGGCGAACCAAACACACACAATGGCAACACAGCATGAAAGCCATCACTTTTTAAAACTTGAAAACCAAAGTAGATTTCAGGAAGTTGGGATGTGAACGGCAACAGACTGGTTTATAATCTATTTAAAAACCATCTGCTTTAGGGGTGCCTGGGTGGCTCAGTTGGTTAAGCGTCTGCCTTTGGCTCAGGTCAGGTCCTGGGATTGAGCCCCGTTTCAGGCCTCCTGCTCAACAGAGAGCCTGCTTCTCCCTCTCCGTTACTCCCCCTGTTTGTGCTCTCTTTCTCTCAAAAAATAAATAAAATCTTTAAAAAACATCTTTAGCATTCTAAGGAAGATTATTTTTTAGTATATAAGATACAGTAAGAAACAATCACTTTAAGAATGATTAAACAGCAACTCTTGTCTATCAACTGATGAATGGATAAAGAAGATATGGTATATATACACAATTGAATGCTATTCAGCCACCAAAAACAATGAAATCTGGCCATTTGCAATGACATGGATGGAGCAAGAAAGTATAATGCTAAGCAAAAGAAGCCAGTCAGAAAAAGACATATACCATATGATTTCACACTCATATGTGTAATCTAAGAAACAAATGAGCAAAGGGGAAAAAAAAAGAGAGGGAGACAAACCAAGAAAAAGACTCTTAATTATAGAGAACTGATGGGTACCAGACGGTGGTGGGAGGATGGGTGAAGCAGATGATGGGAATTAAGGAGCATACTGGTAGTGATGAGCACCCAGTGAGGTACAGAATTATTGAATCACTATATTATATACCTAAAACTAATAAAACACTGAGTTAACTAACTGGAATTAAAATAAAAACTTAAAAAAAAATAAACAGCATCTCTTAAAGGAGATTTGTTCACAGTCTACCTCATGAAAGATACAACAAGAAGTCTGGTTGCCCACATCGGTAATTCACCAAAGGAATTTTACCCATTTCATTGAAAGTGCTTTGGAGGAAATTCTTCCAACTAAAGTAAGACAAAATTTACATTTGATCTTTTATTTTAAACTTGAAAGGGCTGAGTGGTAGAGGGCTGTCAGCGATTCTTTGAAGACTGCCTCCAGATAGCTCTCTCAAAGACTTCCTGCGAATCATGCTTATCGAAGATCTTGAAGACATGGCATAAACTGAGCAGCAGGCTGAGGAAGGGAAATGCTGATTAGTGAGACCTGCTGGCTGTAACCCTCCATCCTGGACATCTGTCACTGGCTTTTATGAATAATGAATTTTGTTCCTATAAATTACTCTGAAATACTTACACAGTCAGAAGCATAATTAGTGATGATAAATAGTTATACACGAGGATACTGCAGCTCAATCAATCTTCCTTTTTCAAATTGTTGCTTCTCCACAGAGCAAACAGAAATGGCCAGTAAGTGCTGCCAAACCAAGCTTGACTAAGCAGAGACTGACAAGCAAATGATTTACAAAATGTATATTCCCTTACGTAAGGGCCATAAAATTGTAGTTGCTGTTTCATTCACTTTAGTAATCTTGAATCATAAGCTCTTGAGGTTCTGAAAAGTATCCTCACTGAGAACATACTTTAATCTCAAAATAAGTCAGTTGGTTCTTAAATGTCTGCAGTAATTTTTTTTTTATCCTTTCACCTACAATAACTTAAGTACTATGCTCACCACTGATAGGACATGTATTTAAGAAGTGTCGAAGGGGTATCTGCTACTGTGAAGGACCCAGGAAAGAGGAGGATGCGCTCAGAGGACATAACCTCAGCCCTAGGGACCGTGGGGTCCACTCAAGGTGGTGACATAATATAGAAGCACCGAAATAGCAATGTTAGCGGCTACGGAGTTAGGACGGTCCCAAATAGTGAATGTCAGGATGAGCCTGAGTGCAGAGGGGGGCAGAATGTCAGTACAAGACACAGAAATAGAGAAAGCACCCTGAGGAAGTGGGATACTGCTCCAGAAAATTTAGCAATAGGTAGATGTGATGAAAAGCATAGTGGTTGACTCTATGGACTTTGCAAAGCAGTTTACCTGGGAAAGCAAATGAACATCTCCAGACACCAGTTTTCTGATCTGTAAAATGGGCATGATAATAGTTAACATCTTAAGGGGTTGTTCTGAGTCCTGAAAGAGACAGCAAACATCGTGATTAGCATGATTAGCCTGGTATCTGTCCTAATCTGGTAATTATTATATTCCCAATTTTATTTTCCCCAGTTTTAACAATAGTTGTAAAATGTGCTCAATTACTAAAATAACTTAATTTACTTTATGATGCATATTGTAAATAAGAGCCATGTGAAAAATAATGAGATACATTGACTTTTTTTTCCCAACTGTAGCATCAAATGCCTGCTTGGACCCTTTTATGCTTCTTTCCTCCATGAATTTTTATAAGTTGAACTCCTAGAATGGCCCTCTGGTGAATCATTCCTAGACGGATAAAGCTTTTTAATTTGGGTGCATACTTGATTTGACAGCTACCAAGTTTGGCCAGGCCCCAGATTTGCAGATTGATAAATTAACAGCCTCTCAGCCTGTCTGTCTTTGTGTTGTTGTTTCCCACCCCCCTCTTCTTTGCTATTTTTTCCCCCTGAGATTTGAAGGCCCATGATGTGAGCAATTTTCCCAACTTATGGCATCTTTTCGGCACAAACTGTGGTCCCCAAAGGCTAGTAACTGGCCTTGGGTGTTACAAAGAAGGGTCCTTTAACACCACCTTTCTAAAGAGCTACAGAACACAGAGCAGTTGTGACTCTGGCACGCACAGCACGCTCAGCTAAGCACCTTTTCTTGTCTCCCCACTATCCCAGGGGGTTCAGCAAGATAGGGAGCTTAAGGCCTGGAGATGGGGGCACAATATTGCAGGGAGCCCAAAAGCAATGAATCTAAAATGGAATGGGGCCACCTGGATGAGGAGGGTGATGGTATGGCCTTCACAGCCCTCTCCTCCACCTCTTCCCACTATTTAGCCCCCTTGCACAGACAGGCATCCCAGTCCCCAACCCTCGAGGGCTCCGTCAATATTACAACACTGGTTTAAACGCACCATCTAAAGTTGCCTCATCAGCTCAAGCCAGGTGCCAGCAAACCTGCCAGATGTGGCTTCCTTTCCTATTTCCCCAATTTTCCTGCTTCTAAGGCTCAACTGCGACTCTTGTAAAAAATGCAGATTCAGAGCCTCCTTCTCTGGAGATTCTAAGGTCGAGCCCGGGGATCTGGCTTAGTCACACAATCCAGAAGATTCTTATGTGGCAAACTTGCACAACACTGCTTCTGGTCTTCCTGGGAGCACCTACTGTATCTTGACATTGAGTTCCTGCAGGAGAGAGACGTGGGGATGCTTCACCGACACCGAGTCGCGGCTCTGACCACAGATTCAGAGGCCTTGAAGTGTTTTTCAAAAAGCATCTAATCCCCCATCTAGTCTCCAGGCACTTAAACCATGTGAGATGGAAAGTTCTTTAATCCTCATGTAAAAGCCTATAAAGAAGGAAAATTCCAAACCTCAGTTGCTCTCTTAATTAAGAGCCTCAACAACTTTATACCAATAGTGAAAACTTTTTAGAAAATGGCTGAGAGAAGGGAGGGATAGTCAATTATTTGTTGAGGGAGTGAGAGTGCGTCGAGTAGCTATTTTTGAATTTTTGAAAACCACTGTTCAAGCCTCACTTGTGTACATTCATAAACTAAGCATATATTTTTATTTTTAATTTTTTGAGAGAGAGAGAAAGCACATGCGGGGGGAGGGGGGCCGAGGGGCAAAGGGAGAGAGAAACCAAGCTGACTCTACAGTGCGTGCAGAGCCCTGACACGGGGCTCAATCTCACGACCCTGCGATCATGACCTGAGCTGAGATCAAGAGTCAGATGCTTAACCGACTGAGCCACCCAGGTGCCCTAAGCATGTATTTTTAAAGTTCCACTGTTACTTTAAAAATGTTTTACCTTCGTGTAGGTTAAATTTTCATAAGAAAAATGTAAGTGTATTATCTAAGACTTTTCTCATAAAATATTGGTGCATTTCTCTCTCCTGCATGTGTTCAGGAAAAAGCATTTTCCATTACTTTAGTACATCTACACAGGTGGACTGTACGTCCAGAAATACTTTTTCTCCTTGCTGATAACTTGGCTGAGCCATTCTATAAATTTAATGCTTAGTACATATTTAAAATGACACGAACCATGGGATCATAAATTTAAATTAAAAAATTTAGATATATTTGAATAAGGTCTATAGATCAGGCAATAGTGGTGGAGCAATGATCACTGCCTGATTTTGATCACTGCACTGCGATTATGTAAGACGCTAACCTCTGTGGAAGTGGATAAAGGGTATCCAGAAATTCTTTATGCTATCTTAACAATGTTTGCATGTCTCAAACTACTTCAAAATAAAAAGCTAACAAGGAATTTAAAATTTAGATAGTATTAAAATTCATATATTCACCATTCAGACTGCATAAATATCAACACTCTGTCTCACTTGCTTTTTGTTTTTTAAGGCAAACATGACAAGTGAATCTGCTCTTTTATCATTCTGTACTCCCACGAGCAGCGAGTAGAAGCTCTGATTTTTCTTCTTCTTCTCCAGTACTCAGTATTATAAGACTTTTTAATTATTTCCTGCATGAGGGGTAAAGAACAGAATCTATATCACTTTCTATTACCTCAAAAACTGAAATTGAACTTCTTTTTATAGGCTAATTGGCCACTCAGATTTTCTCTTCCTCATAATGTTCACATTTTTGTTGGTATTTTTCTCTCTCTTTCTTAACGATGTGGTAGTTCTTTGTGTCATCTGGATATAAGCCTTTGCTTATAATATGCATGCAAGTATCTTTGGTCCCTTTATAGCTTGCTCTCATTGGTTATGGGATCTTCTGTTGGACAGATATTTTGCATTTTAACATAGTCACAGTTT